GGCAGGATCCCAAGCGGATCAGCCAGCCAGGTCAGCACCCTGAGCTGCGCACTGGGGGGGCCCACGACACCCTCTCAGATGTTGTTTGGACCTGCAGTGCATTCCACTGGGGCCTCGCCCCCCTTGCACCCCACTCATCCTGGCACTACTACAATCTGCACTGGGTTCTCAACTGGAGTTCAATGTAGCGTCGCCTTGGAAGGATCTTCCAGAAATGTCTCACTCCACAGACTAGACCAGTGATGGCGAACATTTTAGGACTGAGCGCCTAAACTGTACTCCAAAACCAACTTATTTATCGCAAAGTGCCAACATTGCGATGAAACCTAAATACCTGAGGTTTATGTTTATAAAAATCAGCTCACAGCCAGTCCAAGCAAATATGTATGTATGGATGTATATGTATCCTTGGCAGTGCACTGACCTGCCATGCACAAGCTGAGACGAGCAACGGCTAATGAGTTGCGGCTCGTGACATCATCGCCTGGCGCCACTACTCCTTTCCGAGCATGCGCATGGCCCCTATGTGTGCTGTTATCCGATGCTCGGCTGCTGGGGTGATGCTGGGGCGACGTGGCTCGCGTGCCGACAGAGGGCTCTGCATACCCACTGCAGCACGCGTGCCATCGCTTGGCCACCACTGGACTAGACGGGCAAGAGAGCAGAGGACTCTTCTGAACGAGGCCGTGCGGATGCCCGTGTGCCTCTGCTCCCATGGCCAAAAGAGGGGCCAGACCTCAGCGGTGGGGGGTGAAAGGTGCCCCACGGCTTGAGGTTCCCGCTACCCCAAGACAACAGGAGCACCCTGTTCCCCCTGCCGAGACTGAGTGCCCCGGCCTGAGTGCCCGGTGCCTCTTGGGAGGTCGGGACCCACATCACACAGGGAGGGGCGGCCCTGGGGCCGCCTGTGCAGAGAACGCCTCTTGCGCATTCAAGAAGACTTCCTCAAGTGGCGTTTGGCCTGGAGGACCATCTGGAGAAGCGGTCCAGCCGGCCCCTCGTCCAGGGGCCTCTGCAGTGCTCAAGTGGCTGAGCTTCCTGAAAAGGCCTCCTGTCCATCCAGTCTCTCTTGGGCAGCCCTTCTGGGAGGTCGTGTCAGAAATCTATGATCTGCCCATCGGAAAAACAGTGCCGAAACAATACAGGGATCCACGGCAAGTTCTTTTCAACTTGCATCTGCACCAATTTTTATCCCACTGGGTTTGGCAGCTTAACACTTATTCATTTATTTCTTAAAGGCTTATATACACCATCCCATTATTAGCATCTCAAGACGGTTTACAACACGCGCAGGTAAAGATGGCACAGCATCCAGCCTAGTCACTAGTAAATCACTAGTAAAACCAATTAAGGATTAAAATAATGGGAGAATGAAAAGATTTTCGCCTGGCGCCAAAAAGAAAGAAGACTTGGCGCACAGCAAACCTCTCTGGGGAGCGTAGTCCACAATGGGGCGCCACCACAGAGGAGGCCCTCCCCCAGTCAATCTCTAATCTCTTTCAAGGAGGCCTCCCCAAGAAGGACCTCTGCCCCAGATGTCAGGGGGTGGGCGGGCCTATAGGGGAGAAAGCGCTCTTGCCGGTATCTGGGACCAAGCCATTTCTGGGGCATCACCAGCGCCTTCCATTGGCCTGGACTTCAATCGGCAGCCAGTGCAAGCAGGAGAGGACCGGCTCCGCATGGGAATGCCGGTCCCTCTGAATATCCCGGCTGCTCTATTCCGAACCAGCTGGAGTATCCGGATCCTCGTCAAGGGCCGCCCCACGCAGAGTCTGTTACAACAATCCGGTCGGGAATTGAGGCCGGGGTAATTGCTGTCACAGACTGCTGGCTGCATCCCAGGGCATTTCTTTGGAATCAGAAAGATGGAACTGGGGAGGATGGGCTAGCTCAAGATGGTCAGATGGAGGAGGATGAGGCAGAGGCAGGAAGCTCAACTGAATGAGCAGTGAGCGGAGAGAAGCCCCCCTCCCCATGGTGATGGGACCCTCCTCTTCATAAGGAGAGTTGCTAGCCGTAAACGCCAGAGTGGGCTCCACAAACTGCTCTGTGCATGCTCAGAGATCCATTCTGGGTGATTTGAACTCATTTATTTATTCTTAATGCATGTACAAAAATATTTATTAAGTAAATGTAAAATGCATTTAACTAAGAAAGTTTCCTATTCCATAACCTCGCCATCTGTACAACCCTTTACAGCATGTAAAAAGAAATGTTGCTATCTCAGTCTCAACACATTAATAGATCAGTTGGTTGCCACTCCTTTGTGAGGTTTATCCCATGTGTGAATTATTTGATTATTTATGTCAGATTTCCCTCAAAATGAACCACTTTAAACTTTCTTCCCTGTATGAAGTCTTTGATGAGAATTAAGTGTTACCATCTGAGAATTGCTCTTTCCACACTCCAAGGATTTATATGGATTTGAAACTGTGTGAATTCTTTGATGGAAAATCAGACTTCTCTTCTCACTGAAGCTCTTTGGACACTACAAACAATGATATGCTTTCTCCCCTGTGTCAGTTCTTTGATGTGAATGAAGATACCTCTTCTGACTAAAGCTCTCTGCGCACTCCAAACAATGATACAGCTTCCCCCCAGTATGAATTGTTCGATGAGAAGTGGGATCTGTATTCTGACTGAAGTTTTCTGCACACTTCAAACATTGCAATGGATTCTTCCCAGTGTGAAATCTTTGATGCCGAGTGAGATTTCTCTTCCGAGTGAAGCTCTTTGAACACTTCAGACACTGAAATGGCTTCTCTCCAGTGTGAATTCTTTGATGAGAAGTGAGCTGTGTCTTACGAATGAAGCTCTTTGAACACTCCACACACTGAAATGGCTTCTCCCCAGTGTGAATTCTTTGATGCAGAATGAGAGTTCTCTTCCGACTGAAGCTCTTTGCACACTCCAAACAATGATATGGCTTCTCCCCAGTGTGAATTCTTTGATGGTAAATCATCTTTGCCTTCTCAGTGAAGTTCTTTCCACACGCCATACATTTATACGATTTATTCTGTGTTTGAAGTTTGCTGTGCGCTTTATTGTTTGATTTAGAACCGCATGATCTCTTGTGCACATGGTCTGCGTTCTTTTCTTGTCCAGTGTGTACCTCTTCTTGGATTGTGTCATGCCAGCCACTGCCCTGCAGAGCAAGGCAATCATTCCTCCCATTGTGATTACCTTCAGTCTTCCTTCTTTGCTGGTCACTAGTTTTCCATCTGTCTCTTTCCAGAGACATCCCATGTAGTTCTCTCTCATTCTCCTCTTCCCACCTGTCACCTCCTGGAACGAGAGCAAGAATTCGGAAGAAGCCCATGTTTGCAGCAGAAGTTCAAATAGCAGAGCACACTCAGTACTGATTGCAATGAAGGGAAGAACCAGAAGGACTTTGATGGGATGCTGCTCTTTGAATGGGCTGAACGGCATTAACAGACTCTCTGTGTTGCGCAACAAATATTGCTGGGACTGTGTAGACCCAGGTTCAGCTTGGCAGGAAAAATCTCGTATGATCATAGAGGCCTCTGCCATCTCTGCAAGCAGAAATCTTCCCAAGCTGACTCCATGGCCGGCTCACCTGCCAGAACAGGAATTCCTTCCTTACATGAAATATGATGCCTTGAGTATCCATATTTCAGGAGCAGCCTGCCAGCTTTTACTTTTAAGATAATGCTATCATGCCATTATCTGGGCCCCACTGATTTCAGGCCCTACAGCTTCGGACATTACCTCGAAATCTTGCTGTAACTCCCTGAGAGCAGTTCCATTCGTAGATGTTGGACCAGGATTACCCCAGTTCTGTGTTACCACAACACTTGGGCCTCCTGACTACTTCTTGGCACATGGCCATTCCCCATGTCCTGTTGCTTTCAGACAGAAAGAACAGGCCTCTTTCCTATCCCTCTACCTAGAGCAAATCAGGGTGTGATTTGGAGATCTACGTATTTGTGAGGAGAGGCTGCAGCTGCGTGAGACTCACAGGGACACTGCTGAGCATGAGTTCTGCAAGGAGCTGCAGTTTCGGATTCTGTGATGGGTTAACCTTGCTTTCCTATTTGTGGTGGTTCCCAGGGTTTCCTGCTGACTTGAGGACCGGATGCAGACCGCTGTTCTAATTTTCTTGACGCTCCTGAGGGTGAGCTCCCATGTGCACCTTTGTTGAGGGGAAGGCAGGGCAATAAGCGTTTTGCTTTCCTGCATGCCATCACACGCTCCCCGGCTTATAGCAGTCCCATGAGCGAGAGTCCTGTGGGTTTCACAGCCATACGCAGACCTAGTAAATTCCAGGATTTAATAATAAAACTTGATTCACTTGTTTTTAAACACTGTATTTTGAGGGCTAGGCCCTAAAATAGAAAATAAAAAATCTAGGACATGGGCTACAAATGGTAATTTTGTCTTCTTTATCAGGCTGGCAGTTGCAACCAAGTATTATCCCTTAGCAGAAAAACAGAAAGCCTTACCGAGAGAGGCCACAATCCTGCGATTCTCCTCCATGATCTGGCTGTGCAGGGCTCTCTGGCCAGCATCCAGCAGGGCCCACTCCTCCTCCGTGAAGCACACGGTGACCTCCTCAAAGGGCACCAGAGCCTGGATGAAAAAAGGAAAGTTTTCGTTATCAAGGTCACATGCTATAGTGGCTGGGCATTATACTGCAGGACTGAAACTCCCTTGCTCAGGAAGCAGCAGCCAAAAGGATCCTTCTCCCCTCTCCTCCTTGCGTGCCTCCCAAGGGGCATCTGGGCAGCCACTGTGAGATGAGCGGTCCCTACACTGGACAGGCCTTTGCTCCCGTCCCACAGGTCTCCCTCTCTGATGATAGTTTTGCCAGAAGAAGAGAAAAACAGAGCGATTACATGGAATCAGCTCCCTAAAGAAGTTTGCCTGGGGCCTTCTCTGTGTTCTTTGTAGCATCAGGCAAATACATTTTTAATTTCCCAATTTTTTTTGTTCAGGTTAAAGATTTTAATAGTGTTAATGATACCTTAGTGCAACTGTGCCACTTTATTGTCTTTTTATTGGTTTAATAACTTATGATACTGTGAGGTTTTATTGTTAGGTTTTTCTATTTGATTGTTATGATTTTACTGTAATATTTGTTAATATTGTTTCATTAGGTATATTGGCACTATTGTATAATTATATTTGGTAAACCATAAAAAGAGCCATTTTGTCTGTAGGGAAGGACAGAAATCTAATAAATAAATAAGAATAAATATATGCTCCCTAGAATGGGAGCTGAGACTCGGATGTTGTGGCTGGTTGCTGCCTCTCTCCTAAGAGAAACTTTCCCTTACCTGATCCAGTTTCACTCCTTCCTGAAGAAAGAGAGATGGATGGGTATCCATTTCTGCCAAAATGCCTGCTCCTAGGAAAGACAAAAGAAATGGGAAGCTTGTAGGAGACTGAGAGGATAATCCTGAACTTGTGGGAAGGCACCCCGGAAGTCAAGACATAGAAACATAGAAACAGAGCGAGTCAGAAGGATTCTCCCGGGCCGTCTAGTCTGACCCCCGGCTCCCGCTGGCTCCGTTCAGGACATGGCCACCAAGAGAACCGACTCTCCAGCTGAATGCAGAGAATTGCACTGCAAGCGATGGATGTCTGGGTACACACGAGTATTACAGGATTTGCACTTTTAGAATTGCATGGTTATCCATTCAAGCCCATTGGCAAAAGTCAAACGGTCGTTGGACTGTATGCAGTCCCCACGGGTTGAAAATTAGATATAGAAGTGCAGAACTTCAGGGGTCGGTATCCTATGGAAAGCAGGGGGCACTTTCTGTGTCTATCCAGGCAATTAAACTCACATCCAATCCCCTTCTGTCTAATTCAAAGCTTCATCAGCATTTAGCAGAATACAAACAGTAAAGACCCAGTAAATAGAGGGGCTGTGCTTAGGAGGAGGAGGAATGGATGCGATGAAATGGGGAATGGTGTTCCGAGTACAATGAGACAGCAAAACTGA